TCAAATGCATAGTTTGGCTTATGATTATCTTTCAAAAAAATTTTAGAGCAATTTTTGTGAAACCACGTATAAGTAAAAAATTCATGTTATTTTCAAATATGAATTCCATTGTGGAACCAATGCAGTACAGACAGCTTGAAATATCAATGAAGTGTTTGGGAAGGATGTAGCTAATGAACACACAGTACATCGATGGTTTGAAAAGTTCCATCTGGTGATTTTAATCTTGAAAATGAGCCACATGGGCGACCTGAGACCAAGGTGGATAATGATGAGCTAAAAGCTATAGTACAAATGAATCCATCTCAACCTATGCATGAGTTAGCAGCAAGGTTTGATGTTACTATTCCAACAATAGTGGACGACTTGAAACAAATTGGCAAGGCAAAGAAGCTGAATAGATAGGTATTGCATGAATTAAACAAGTGTCAGAAGAGAAATCATCTCAAAGCTTGCCTTTCTTTGCTGTCATGACATAAAGGTGAATCATTTCTATACCATATTGTTATGCGTGATGAAAAATGGATTCTTTTTGACAATCACAAGCATTTGGCACAAGGTCGGATAAAGATGAAGTGCAGAAACATAGTCCAAAACCAAATATTCATCAAAAAAAGCTAACGGTGTTAGTTTGATGGTCCAGCACTGGTATTATCCATAACAGCTTCATGAAACCTGGTCAATTGATTACAGTGGATGTCTACTACAACCTTGGAGTTTACTAAGGGAAGCTGAAAGGTAACATTTTCACAGAGATAGAGAGAGAGAAAGGAGAGAGACAGGCTAAGATGGGTTGGGTAGAAGCTAAAGTTACAAGGGACCATAAACTATGAGTAATGGAGACCCCTGGTAGAGAAAAAATACTAAGTGGAGGATAAAGATTTTAAGTCACCAGAGAATGAAGTAGAAACACAAAGAGGATATCTTTGAGTATATTAATGGCAGTGCTGAAAAATGAAGGTCCTCTGGCAAAGGACTAATATCCAGAATATATAAGGAACTCAAACAACCTAACAATAAAAAAAAACAAATAATCCCATTTAAAAGTGGACAAAGGACATGTATAGACAATTCTCAAAAGAAGGCATATAAATGGCCAACAGGTATATGAAAAAATGCTCAACATCACCAATCAGAGGAATGCAATCAAAACTACAATGAGATATCATCTTACGCCAGTCAGAATGGTTACTATTAAAAAGACAAAAAATAACAGATACTGAAAAGGATGTGGAGAAAAGGGAACTCTTATGTACTATGGATGGGAATGTAAATTAGTACAGCCACAATGGAAAGCAGTATGGAGGCTTCCCAAAAAACAAAAAATAGAACTATCGTACTATCCAGCAATCAGTATATTAAAGGGATGCCTGCACTTACATATTTATTACAGCACTATTCACAATAGCAAAGATAGAAAATCAACCTAAGTGCACATCAACAGATGAACAGATAAAGAAAATCTGGTGTATATATACCCAATGAAATACTATTGAGCCATAAAAAAGAATTAAATCCTGTTATTTGCAGCAACATGGAAGGAACTAGAAAACATTACTTTAAATGAAATAACCCAGGCACAGAAAGTTAAACATTGCATGTTCTCATTCATGTGTGGAACTCAGGTCCCACTTATGTGTGGGAGATAAAAAAAAAATTAATCTCATATAGGTAGAGAGTAGAACAATAGACACTAGAGACTGGAAAGGGCGAGTGGGTGGTGGGGTGATAGAGAGAGGTAGGGTAACGGTACAAACTACAGTTAGATGAAAAGTATAAATTCTAATGTTCGACAGCAGAGTTAAATGACTATAGTTAATAACAATGTATCATATATTTCAAAGTAGCTAGAATTGCTACTTTGGGATTTGAATTGCTCCAAACACATAGGAATGCTAAATAATCAAAGTGATGGACACCTCAAATACCCTGCCCCAATCATTATATGTTCTATGCATGTAAAATATTATGTATCAATTTTTTCCTTATTTAGTTTTTTTATTTCAGCATACTATGGGGGTACAAATGTTTAGGTTACATATATTGCCTTTGCCCCACCCAAGCAAGAGCTTCAAGCATGTCCATCCCTCAGATAGTGCACACCGCACCCATTAGGTGTGAATATACCATTCCCCTCATCCCCTCTCTCACCTGGCCGACACCTGATGAATGTTACTACTATATGTGCATGTAAGTATTGATCAATTAATACCAATTTGATGGTGAGTACATGTGGTGCTTGTTTTTCCATTCTTGTGATACTTCACTTAGTAGAATGGGCTCCAGCTCCATCCAGGATAATACAAGAGGTGCTAGTTCACCATTGTTTTTTGCATCTGTATAGTACTCCATGGTATACACATACCACATTTTATTAATCCACTCATGTATTGATGGGCACTTGGGTTGTTTCCACGTCTTTGCAATTGTGAATTGTGCTGCTATAAACATTCTAGTGCAGATGTCTTTTTTATAGAATGTCTTTTTTTCCTTTGGGTAGATGCCCAGAATGGGATTGCTGGATCAAATGGTAGTTCTACTTACTTTTAGCTCTTTGAGGTATCTCCATATTACTTTCCATAGAGGTTGTACTAGTTTGCAGTTCCACCAGAAGTGTATCTCTCCCCATACACACCAACATTTATTATTTGGGGACTTTGTGATAAAAGCCATTTTCACTAGAGTTAAGTGATATCTCATTGTGGTTTTGATTTGCAATTTTTTTTCCCTGATGAGTAGAGATATTGAGCATTTTTTCATGTTTGTTGGCCATTAATCTGTCTTGTTTTGAAATTTTTCTGTTCATGTCCTTTGTAGACTTTTTAATGGGGTTGTTCGATTTTTTCTTGCTGATTTTCATGAGTTCTATATAGATTCTAGTTATCAGCCCTTTTTTGAATGTGTAGCATATTAATATTTTCTCCTATTCTGTAGGTTGTCTGTTTGCTCTCATGATCGTTTCTTTGGCTGTGCAGAAGTTTTTTGATTTGATCAGTTATTTATTTTTGTTGTTGCCATGATTGTCTTTGGGATCTTCTTCATAAATTCTTTCTCTAGGCCAATGTCTATAAGAGTTCTTCCAACATTTTCCTCTAGCATTCTTACAGTTTCATGCCTTAGTTTCATGTTATCCACCATGAGTTGATTTTCATGAGAGGTGCAGATCCCATTTCAGTCTTCTACATGTGGCTATCCAATTTTCCCAGTACCATTTATTGAATAAGGATTATTTTCCCCAGTGTATGTTTGTGTATGTTTTTATCTGCTTTGTCAAAGATCAGATGGCTATATGAAGATAGTTTTATATCTGGGTTGTCAGTTCTGTTCCATTGGTCTATGTCTCTGTTCCTGTGCCAGTACCATGCAGTTTTAGTTACTATAGCCTTGTAGTATAGCTTGAAGTCTGGTAAGTTGATGCCTTTCAATTTGTTCTTTTTGCTTAAGATTGCTTTTGCTATATGGGGTCTTCTCTGTTTCCATATGAAGTACAGAATTATTTTTTCTAGATCTGTGAAAAATCATGTTGGTATTTTAATAGGGATTGGACTGAATCTGCAGATCACTTTGGATAAACAAAGACCATATGATCCTCTCAACAGACACAGAAAAAGCATTCAACAAAATTCAGCACCCTTTTATGATAAGAACACTTAACAAAATAGGCATGGACAGGACTTACCTAAAAATGATAAAAGCCATATACAACAAACCCACAGCCAACATCATACTGAACAGGGAAAAATTGAAAGCATTTCCACTTAGAACTGGAACTAGGCAAGGTTGCCCTCTATCACCACTTCTATTCAACATAGTTCTGGAATTCCTAGCCAGAGCAATCAGCCAAGAGAAGAAAATCAAGGGCATCCAAATGGGGGCAGAAGAGGTCAAACTATTGCTCTCTGCTGACGATATGATATTATGTCTAGAAAATCCCAAAGGTTCTGCCATAAGACTACTGGAATTGATAAATTCAGCAAAGTCTCAGGTTATAAAATCAATGTACACAAATCAGTAACATTCATATACACCAACAACAATCAAACTGAGAACCAAATCAAAGACTCATGCCCTTCACAATAGCAACAAAGAAAATAAAATACCTAGAAATACATTTAACTAAGGAGGTGAAAACCTCTACAGGGAGAACCACAAAACACCAAGGAAGTAAATAGCAGAGGATGTAAATGGGTGGAAAACCATACCATGCTCATGGATCAGCAGAATCAACTTTGTCTATACTACCCAAAGTGTATCAATTTTTACAAAGAGCCATCAACTCCCCTACTAGGATGGTTTTCCAAACCAAGGGTTTGGAAACTTGGGGAAAACATTTGTCTACTAGAGTAGGACAGATATTGGGCCATGAACACAGCTGCAGAGGAAACCCAGCAGTCAAAAGATAGCATTCAGAGAAGTGAGGGGCTGACAAAAGACAGTGAACATGGGAATTACAGCCACGGGTAAAGAGTTAGGGGTCCAGCCAGGTGGCAGAGTTCTCCCCAGGGAGATGGAAGAACAGACTGCATGGCTATTTGGGACAGGCATAGGGAAGTCAAAGCAGGAATCATGGCATGGGGCACAATGCCAGTCCCAGGGAGACTTGGCAGTGCACAGTCCTGACCTGGTAGGAGGGGGCCCTGGGAGAGACAGAATGGCAAAAGGAAGAAGACTTGGCAGAAGCACCAGGTCCCTGCAGGATGAGCAGCAGGTTGGCCTTCTTGCTGAGGGTTTCTTTTATCCCTTCTCAAGTTTTACAGGCATTGGAAAACTCCGGGTAGGAGTTTGTGTCTGAATCTCTAGGGGGTTAAAGCAGCTCCTCTTGTTATGCAAGCCTATGTTTGCTGAGTATGCAAACATTCAGCAAGTATGGATCTTAAAACACTATCAAAAGGAGCAAAGCTCCTATAGGGAAAATGCACTATTAATCTTAAAAGTTCCTTTCTTTTTTTTATAGCTCCCCTTCTCCAATAAAACATGACATTGTGGTTTTGTTTATTTTAGCATATTACAGTTTCAATAAAGCCCCAAATCCTTACATCAAATATATTCTTCAATGTCAGAAGGGCATGCAAAGATATGTTTCCTAATGAAAGATTTATCTTTTATCTGACAGTGATGATTTAGCCGGTGCTGATCTCTTCATCCTCTGTTCCACTGGAAAAAAAAAAAAAAGTTGAACAAAATTACCTTTCTTGGAATAATAGCCCCTTTAAAAACCTGACTACTTTGTCATTACCTCTGTAATCTCCCTTGGAGATCATGGGCTATTCATTTTCTCCCTGACTCCAATTTGCCTTTTGATATTTTTCTTTGGTCTGTTCAAACAGTCCCCCAATTGCCCAGCTCATCGGAGCGAGGCCTCGGCACGAGCAGGAGCCCACTGACACCGCATGTCACCCGCGCTCGCCAGCTCTGGGGCCCCTCCATGCACTGTGGAGGAGCTTTGAAAATGGTCTAAGCTCTTCTCGTTAAAGCTTTCTCTAGCTCTTATCCCCGTGACATCTTTTATCTACATATCATGTCAGAGGCTGCAGCTTCCTAGTCCTTAATAATAAAAAAAAAAAAAGTAGCTACTGAGCCTTTTAAAAAAGGAAAAAAATCTAAGAAAAAGAATGGCTGGAAATATGAGAGAATTGCATGCGGATTCTCGGGGCGCCGTGTATAGCAAGGCAGGGTGTTCTCTGCACGAACCGAAATTCAGCCCGCACAGGACTGCGTGTGCCTGGAAAGGGGGCCTTCTCCACTTTGCACCAAGGTACCATCTGGCTGGCAGCAGCTCTGGGTTCTTTTCCTGATACTGAGTTGCGCCCATGATGGACATGTTGTTGCCGCTTGTTCTGATACCTCGAGTTGTTGCTGTTGTCTCCTTTGGCTATTTTCCCTTCCGTTGCATCTGTGTGATTTCATCTCTGATGGCCCCTGTGGACGGGTCGGCAGCCACGCTTCAGAGGAAGCACGGCACACACCAGAAATCCCATACACCTCTCTCGCCTCTCCTCTTCCACAGGCCCTTGAAAAGAAATTTCTTTCTAACTGTGTGTAATCAGTGGTGTGGATCCAAGTGCACTTACTTAGCTCTTGCTGGATTGTGAATGCACAACCACATCCCAACTCATTAGTGACAAGAAAGCTGAGCCGTCAAGTGTGGCTGACACTCCAGGAGAGGGGTCTGTATTAGAGCAAGGTCCGGGATCCACGCACAAGCTGAGTTGGCTTTTTCTTTTCTTTTAAGCTTTATTGATCTCAGGAAGAACTGAAGGCCTGTTGAAAAAGTGTGGGAATCAGCTCAACATACTAATTTATGTATTATTTATGCACTTAAAGAAGCCTAGACTCCCGGCAATAAAGAAAAAAATGTATGCAGTGGAACCGCCACTGGAAGCGATTCCCGCGTTCGGAACACTGCACACAGGAACTGTGGGGGACAATGGGATACGGGAGCAACGTGGAATTTGGAATCAGACAGCTGGGGTTGGAGCACCACCTCCACCGTGAGACCCCAGCAAGTTGCTGCATCTCTCTAGGCTTCAGTTTTCTCATCTCTAAAACAAAGAGAATCCATGTTGGACTTTGATTTCAAAAAAAGAAAAAAATAAATAAAACAAAGAGAAATATCTATTAATATTTGCAGGTTATTGTGAGGATGAAATGGGAAAAGTAGTGTATGAATTTCAAAGTGGTTACAAATGCCTGTTGCAGGTATCCTGTGTGAGGAAGGGACACACGTCCAGCTCCTAGATTTCTTGTCACAGAATGGTCACTCTCCTGACAACTCTACAGCTCTAAAGAACTCTCCTATCTTTACTCCAATGAGACACAGAGCAAAGACCTGCTCCACTAATTCAGACCACAGCTGGCATTCTCCCTCCCCCCCCCAATCTCTCTCCTATAAAGTAAAACTGACTCAACCATCCACTCATCATAAAGTAATAATTCCAGTATTATCCTAATTACCACAGCCCCAACGTAATGGCCAGTCTGCCTTCCACGTTCAGCACAGGGAGCACTGGTCTCTGGACAACCCACTCCTGCCCTGGTTCCTTGCTGCTGCCAAACTGGCTGTTGAAATCTGATTCCCACAGCCTGACATGGCCCATCCACCTGTGCTGGCCTTGCACCTTTGGTCCTCTGAGGGAGGATGGTCAATTTCAATGCCAAGTTCATGGAAGGCTGCCTACCCCCCAGCATGGGCTTCCAGGATGACAGTTCTCTCTCTCTCTCTCCTGCCCCAGTCATCCTCCAGTTCCAGGGACTCTCTATCAGAATTAGTTCACATAGCAAGAAGCCTCTGACCCTTTTAGTTCTCTCCAATCTACACCCTTATGCCTCCAGCCCCAGGAAAGCAAGCAGACTTTTCTTTTCAGCGTTCAAAATCCAGTGGGGTTCATAACAACAGGGCTATTTCTCCAAGGGTGGCTATCTTCATTGTTTGCAGGGAGCCCGATCTCTCCCCTACCCTGCCAGCTCCCTTTTGCCCCTCTCCCTGTCACAAATGCCTCCCAACCCTCTGGACTGTCAAAATGCCCAAAATGCACCTTAAAGATTCACTCTTTGGAATATTGTAGGCTGTTTGGCACTAGGAGCCACCTATTAAAATGCCAATATCTCTGGGAGCTGATCCTCCTCAAATAGCACTTTGGCAGAGGTGACAACTGGCCAAAGCCACACAGCCTTGTTTCACTCTTCTCTTAGCTGCTCCGGTGTGCTGAGCCCAGAAACGGTTCTCCCTGGGTGCCGGCAGCCCTGACCTAATGCTCAGGAAAGAGTGCGGCAGAGGGAGCTGATCTTGGCGCCAAGGCTGACTCGCCAAGGTCGGGAATTACCAGATAAGGACAAACAAGTTCCCAAGGGGAGGCGGGACATGAGCTGCAAACACAGGAGGCGCTCCGGCCTTCACACCAGCGTTTCCCCGTGGGGCGGCATGTGCGCACACCTGTCGTGGACGCTCCGATGCCTGTCCAGCCCCCTCGGCTTCTCTTCCACCCAACACAGCAAACGCTGCTGACTGGGAACTCCTGAGACTGTCTGACCGGGGAGGGCTCTTTTCCTGACCTTGGAGCAAACTCAGCCGACACATTCCTGTCAACTTCTGTATTGGCTCTTGTCAATAAGTCAATGAACAATCATTGAGTGCAGGTATGTGTACAGTACTCTGCTAGACCCTGTGGGTGATACAAAGCATAAGCCACAGCCCCTCCCTCTGGAAGGTTATAAGTGAATTGAGGAAATAAAACCTGTGCACCTGGCCAGGCACAGTGGCTCACACCCGTAATCCTAACAGAAGGATGTGGGAGGATTGCTTGAGAGCAGGAGTTCGCGACCAGCCTGAGCAAAAGCAAGACCCTGTCTACAACTAAAAATAGAAAAATTAGCCAGGTGTGGTGGTACATACTGGTAGTCCCAGCTACTCAGGAGGCTGAGTGAGGAGGATGGCTTGAGCTCAGCAGTTTGAGGTTGCAATGAGCTATGATGACACCACAGCACTCTAGCCCAGGAGACAGAGCAAGACCCTGTCTCAAAAACAAGAACAAAAAATATCTGTGCACCTAACGATAACTCATAAAGCAAAGAAAGTGTCATGCAATAAATACCAAATGGATGTCATATGACTTTAATTTCAAGGAACAGTAGAACAAGTTAAATTTCTGGATATCCGATCAAAGAGTTCAGGGAGAATTCCATTCCCTTTGCTAACTGTAAAGAAAATAGCTTTCCATCAGAGGAATCCCTGGTCAGTTCTGCATCGCAACGGGAGGCAGCGGCATTGGCGCTTCATTCACAGATAGAATTTATACTTGTCTATAGTGGATTTCTCTCAGAGGCATCAGAAAATACCTTGCTACTCTGACAAGGTATCCGACCTCAGAAGCCCTACCACATGCTTCTTTGCATGAAGCATTTATTAGTTTTTTAGAGCCCCCTATATACGCATGTTTTCTAGGTCAACCTGACTCTAGGGGTTCACACCAGTGATCCCAGAATCCTTGACTCTCAGAATTAGAAGAGACCGTAGAGTCCTTCCAGCCTCACTGTGTCTCCATAGGTTGCCATCTACCTTGGCCACCTCCAATGACTTGAAGTTCACTCCTTTTGGTATCCCATTTTTTTATTCTTCCTCCAGTAATGAAGGTTCTCTAGGAGTCATGGAGAAACGATGACAACAGTTTTGCAAAGAGAGATGAAGGCTGCCATTAACACCCAGGAAAGCAGGGAATTCACCCCCAGATAGGTGAAGGTAAGGGATACCTACTTTCATCCCAGGTATATGTCAGTGTTGGTAAGGAATGGATTTGTTTTGTTTTGATTTTTCATTTGAAACAGTCTTGCTGTGTCACTCAGGTTAGAGTGTAGTGGCATCATCATAGCTCACAGCAACCCCAAACTCCTGTGTTCAAGTGATCCTCCTATCTCACCCTCTCAAGTAGTTGTGACAGGTGTACACCACCACACCCAGCTAATTTTTTTAAAAAAATTTTCTGTAGAGATGAGGTCTTAATATGTTGCCAAGACTTGGCTTGAACTCCTGACCTGAATTGATTCTCCTGCCTCAGCCTCCCAAAATGCTGGGATTAGAGGTGTGAGCCACCACACCTGGCTGAGGAATGCTTTTTGAGGATTCTTCTTCAAATATTCCCAGGAATTTGTTTAATCGTCTTCCACACAGGGGTTTATAAGGTTCTGTGGGCCCACGTGATTTGAAAACACTTGAAGGGCAGACATTCTGAGATTAGATGAAAGAGCTATAATCACTCCAGGCTGTGCTAGGGCAGGAACCTCACAAGGGGCTGATGGAAAAAGGCAACAACAGAGAATCCCAATAGCGATCTTGGCCCTTCAGAGAAAGATAGTCGTTTGGAAGGTTGGAATTCCTAGGAAGAAAGTAGGTGAGTGTTCAGAGTCAACCTGCACCCACAGCATTTATTGAGCACCACTATGAGCTTAGGCCCCAACTAAAACACCTGGTTCTTGCTCTTAAAACCTCCTTAAGCGAGTTGTTAAAAAATCTATGGCTAAGGTCAGAAAAGGGCTTGCCCGCCACAAACGGGAATAGGAACAGCAAGCAGGCTGGTTTGAGTCCTGGTTTAACAGTTCCCCTTGGTTAACTACGCTGATATCTACCCTACAAGGCCCACTCATTATATTACTCTTAGTCCTCACGTTTGGGCCTTGTGTAGTTAATAGACTAGTGACATTTATAAAAGAACAGATAAACACTGTCCAGCTACTAGTATCGCAACAACAATATCAGCAGCTACGGTCAAGTGCTATAGAACTCGAGCACCTAAGAAACCTTGAGGACGAGCAAGAGTGCTCGTCTGCTACCTAGAGAAAGGGGGGAATGTAGGGCAGAGGAATTTGTAGGACAGAGGAAGGGCAGAGGAGTTTTTCCAATTGTCGGGAATTTACTTGGGTGGGGCAATGAGCTAACCGCAAACTTTTGCTTCTGGTCATTGCTTGCTTGCTACGCCGCTGTATGGGGAATTATGGGATGAGGTCATTGAAGCACGGGCGACTGGCCCATCAGGCAATAGAGGGCAACCAACCCGCCAATTATTTCAAAAGGCAATAGTGGGCAACCAATCATTTTAAAGGTCAACTCATGATCCATGCGTAGTCAGCTTGTGCGCAGCTTGTGCACCATGGGGATAGAAGGCATGCCGTTGTTCCGGTCGGGGTCCTTGCCTGCCAGAGTGGCCACTGCATTGGTGCCCTGGGGCTTGGACCCTGGCTAGCCAGAAAATAAACCTCCTCTTGTGTGATTGCAAAAAAAAAAAAAAAAAACCCTTAAGCGCTCAGTCTATGTGCCTTTCACCCAAGCCTTTGACTGCCTCTAGGCTTTTGCCCTTAAAATGATCCAAAGTGGCAAAATGTGCTTTTCTCAAGACTTCCGTTTTTTTTAAATAATGCAAAAAAGTAGCAAAGAATACTATTTTAGCATTCCATATCCCCACCATGCAGAATTAATGATTTTATTTGTTGTCTCTTTGTTATCTTCCCCTTTCTTCACTCTCTCCCCAACGTGCACTCCCGGAAAATAACCACCATGAGTGTAGTGTGTATCTTTCAGGTCCATTCTTTTTACAGTTTTATATTCATAATGCTTGATTTCCTACTCCTGGTTTAAAAGTTTCACTTTCTATTTCTATTCTTTTATTGGTTACTCTTAAGATTTTAAAATACATACTTAACATTTTTGCAATCAAGACTAAAGCAACTTCCTTCCCAAATAAACTCAATCCCAAATCTGTTATATTTTCCTT